GAACCAGCAGTTGGTATAATGGCTGTGTCGCTGGACTCCCATGTAGTTGATCGCGGTTTGAGTTCTGGACCCGGTGGCTTTAACTCACGTTGGACGCGTGTGTGTGCGTGCCCGCCCAAGATCCCAAGAGGAGAATGGAGAAGGGATTGCGGTGTGGCCATCTCCCCTGGGGGGTGATTTCTCACTTTCTGTCTCTCTCTGTCTGGTGAGTACACACGCCGTATAGTAAAAACCTTCCCCCACCCAAAAAAGAAAAAAAAAGGGAATTATTATTTTATTTAACTTTATTTATTTATTTAAATTTGACCAGAGAGGGACAGTAAGAGAGAGGGAAAGTGAGAAAGCAAGCTGCCAGATCTGGGATTTGAACCACAGTTGGCCATGTGGGAGTCCTTAACCATTATGCCACCTGCAGGCCCCATGCATACAGGTTTTTAAAAACAGGCCTTATGTGTGTTTATTTCTTAATTGTAGATTTACATACAGCTTTATGAAATATTGAGTGATCCCTTGTGCACTTTGCCCTGTTTCTTCCAACAGTAATATTTTGCAAAACTGTAGTATAATATATTGTCTTTGGCACAGTTCACCTGTTTTTATTCAGATGTCCCAATTTTATTTGTGCTTGTGTGGGTATGTGTGCATTTACTGTTCTATCCTGTTACCCTCTGTTGGTTCATTATATCCAGCACCACAGTCAAGGGAATACACAGTTCCAGCAATTTTATACCCTTTCCTACTTCCCTCCCTGGCTCCCCCACCTGTATGTATATATTTGGTTTGGTTTTGGTTGACATTTTTATATTTATGATAATACACTTAACATAAAATTCACAATCTTAATCATTTTTAAGTGTACAGTTTAGTGAACAGTTCACATTGCTGTGTAGCCAATCTCAGAATGTTTTAATCTTGCAAGACTCTATACCCATTTAGTAACAACTCTCCATTTTCTCCTCCACCTAACCCCCGACAAACACTATTTCATTATTAGTTGTCCAGGGACCAGCAGTTAGCGTAATGGCTGTGTTGCTGGACTCCCATGTAGTTGACCACGGTTCGAGTCCTGGACCTGGTGGTTTAAACTCACGCCGGGCGCGTGTGCATGTGTGCCCAAGGTCCTGAGAGGAGAATGGAGGAAAAGGGATTGTTGCATGGCCATCCCCCCAGGGGGTGATTTCTTGCTTTCTGTCTTTCTGGTGAGCGCACACGCACTATAGCAAAAACCTCTCCAAAAAAGAAGAAAAAAAATTATGTTGTCCGAAAAGTCATGTCACATTTTTGCATAGGAAAACAGAAAAAATACAGCTATGACTTTTCCAACAACCCAATACATGTTTCTATAAATTTGACTACTCTAGATACCTTATATAGGTAGAATCATACAATAATTGTCTTTTTGCAATTCATTTACTTCACTTAGCATGTCTTTGAGGTTTATCTACATCGTAGGTGTGTCAGAAACACTTTTCTTTGTTCTTGCCAGAAGGTGTATGAGGTGTATGCACAGACCTCAGAAAGACAGAAAAAGAGGGAGCGGGGAAAGCACTCTTCCCATGGGGCATGGTCATGCCACAATCCCTTCTTCCCCATATCGCTATCCTATAGGGATTTGGGCAGGCACACATGTGCCCAGCATGTTCTTCAAGCTGCCAGGCAGGATTCAAGTCTCAATCATCCTTCATTGTATGGAATACTATTGTCCTTGTATTCATTCATTCATTGAATTGCTTGAATTATGGTTAGGATGCTTCTGCCTCTCAGCTATTGTAAATAGTGCTGCTAGGAAAATAAAATCTCTCTTCAAACCCTACTCTTTTTTTTTTTTTAAGAGTTTGCTATATTTGTTAAAGAGTTTGCTATATTTGCTGTATTTCTTTTCCTTTTTTAAGAGATTTTTGCTATAGGGCTCATTTACTCACCAGAAAGAGAAAGTGAGAAATCACCCTTTGGGGGGACGACCATGCCACAATCCCTTCTACATTCTCCTCTCAAGATTTTAGGCATCCAGGCACACACGCCCAGCATGAGTTCCTTTTTTTCATTTTAAGACATTTTTTACTTTAGGGCTTATGCACTCACTGGGGAGACACACACACACACACACACAGTGAGAGGGAAAGTGAGAAATCAATCCCGGGGGGGGGGGGAACAGTCCCTTCTCCTCCTGGGATATTAGGCACGCATGCACATGCACCATGTGACCCAAATCGCAGCCAGCCGTGTGGGAGTCCAGCAACCTAACTGCTACACCAGTGTGAGTTTCGAGCTGCCAGGTCTGGGACTCAGATTGCATTCAACCACATGGGAGTCCAATGTCTTAACCACTGCACCACCTTCTGGCCCTAATAGTACCCATCCTACTGGGTCCGAGGTAGTATCTCATTATGGTTTTGACTTGTATTTCCCTAGTTGCATTTCTTTTTTTTTTTTTTTTCTTCTTTTTGGAGAGATTTTCACTGTAGGGCGCGTGCGCTTGCCAGACAGACAGAGAGAGACATAGAGACAGAAAGCGAGAAATCACCCCCCAGGGGGGATGGTCACGCCGCAATCCCTTCTCCTCCATTCTCCTCTCGGGATCTTGGGCACGCACGCACACGTGCCCGGCCTACTTGCATTTCTGATCGGTGATGTTGAACATCTTTTCACGTGCTTATTGGCCATTTGTGTATCTTCCTAAGAAATGTATACTCAAGTCCTTTTCCCATGTTTGAGTTAAGTCATCTGTTTTGTGTTTTAGAGGAGTTCTTTTTTGGAGAGGTTTTTTTGCTATAGGGCGCATGCGCTCACCAGAAAGACAGAGAGAGAGAGAAACAGAAAGCGAGAAATCACCTCCCATGGGGGGGATGGCCACACCACAATCCCCTCTCCTCCATTCTCCTCTCTGGATCCTGGGCACGCACATAAACGGGCCCAGCATGAGTGTAAGCCGCCGGGTCCGGAGGAGTTCTTAATATATTCTAGATATTAACCCTTTATCAGATGTATAATTTGCAAATATTTTGTCACAGTCCATAGGTTACCCGTTTCATCTATTGATTCTGCCATTTGGTATACAAAAGTTTTTAATTTTGATACATTCCAACTTTTTTTTTCTTTACGGCTTATCCCTTTGTTATATGTAAAAATTATTGCCACACCCAGTGTTATGAAGCTTTTCCCCCTGTTTTCTTATGAGATATTTATAGTTTTAGATTTTATATTTAGTTTCTTGATCCATACTGAGATTTATATCTAACTCTGCAAAGGTGGGGCTCCAACTTCATTCTTTCATATGTGTAATTTAATTTTTCCAGCACCAATTGTTGAAGAGAATGTCCCTTCCCCATTGAATGATCTCAGCTTAGCACCCTTGTCAAAAGTAATTGACCATATGCACAGGGTTCATTTCCATTCTAATCTATGGTTCTGTTTGTCCATACTAGTACCGCACTGTATTGATATGATCACTTCATATTAAGTTTCAAAATCAGGAGTGTGAGCCCTTCAACTTTGTTCTTTTTCAAGATTCTTCAGCTATTCAAAGTCACTTAAGATTACTTACATGGGCCAGCCTATAGCCTAGTGGTTAAGGGAACTGGATACCAAATGACAGACAATAGTTTGAATCCTGGCCCCAATGACTTGAAAACCATACCAGCCATGTGCACATGCATGCCCCAGATCTTGACAGGATGAAGAAATGGAGGAGAGGGAATTGCAGCATGACCATACCCCTTTGGGGAGTGCTTGCTTCCTCTCTCTCCTTCTTTGTTTCATCGGGTCTCTCTCTCTGGCAAGAAATGTGCCCTCTGGCAATAGGGAGAAAAAAAAGATCCTTAGGAATTTTAGAGTAGATTTTTTTTTTTTTTAATTTCTGCAGAAAATGCTGTTGAGTAAAGACATTAAGTCTTCCAATGCATGAATGGACACAGAGTGTCTTTTTGTTTACACATCTTTAGTTTCCTTCAGCACTGTTTCGTAGTTTCCATTTGTGTCTCTTTGGCTAAGTATTTTTATCTTTTTGGATTCTGTTGTAAATGGAATTGTTTGGTTAGTTTCCTTTTCAGACTGACCATTGTTATTGTATAGAAATTCAACTGTGTTTTGTTTGTTGATTTTTGTATCCTGCAACTCTTCCGGATTCAGTTTATATTAGTGTCTTCGAGGAGAAATAGGTTGTAGCAGGTGTGCAGGGGTAGGGTTCCCGTCTGAGGTTAATCTGAGGATAGGAGGTTGCCTGATATCTCTAGAGTCCAGGCTGTTGTTCATTTATCTTTTGTCCCTGTCTCTCTACAAAGAAAAGCCAGATCCTTGAGGTCGTTGGAAACTCCTCTTTATCATCATCAAGCTGCACCAAAGGAGAAAGTCACTATCTAGCCAAGCCAAGGGCCCTTCTCAGTTCTACCTAAAGAGCCCTTTAGAAGACGTCCCTTCCTGAGGGAATGTGGGCCTAACCCCGAAACGGGCTGTGAGGAGGCGGGGAGCCAGCAGCCCTGGGGGCTGAGTGTAAGCCCACTGCCCCATTTCCTCTAACCTGCCGTGCATCCCTGAGAAGGGAGACGTGGTGCCAAGGGAGCCAGTGTTGGGCTGTGGAACGCTACACCTTAGAAGCCATGTGACACAGCACCTCGATGCGCCACACTAGGTGCCTGAAGGGTGAATGTGGCCTTCAGGATTAAGGAGATCAAATCCGTTACTCAAGGCTGTAAAGCAAGCGGCAGGGCCAAAGATTCATCCCAGGGAGTTCAATGCTAAAACCCAGACCTGCTCCCAGCCCCATTCCTGCCTCCCCACCCCACCTTTGACACAGAGGTTGTAGAGCCAAAAATGTAAAGCTGACCTTGAGTTTCCCGCTTCACGGGTACCTTTGGAGAAAACTCTGAGCCCTCTGCTCTGTTCCACATGTCACATCAGGCGACTTCTCCATGCCATGCGCCCTCGGCCTGCCATTCGTTCCCCTACTCCACCCCACTCTCTGCCTGAGTTGAGTGGCTTTCTACCTGTGTATTCGCCCATCCATGACGTTTACAAGTGAGGTTCTTAGGTTATGGCTAATTCTGAGAGCTTGCCGGGGGCAATGACCATGCCACGTCTGTCTCCCTGTCTAATTGCTCAACCCGATGCCAGACAGCCAGTGAACACCCACTAATGCACCTGAGTGAGAAAACACCCAGTTGATGCAGCTGGTGGATGTGGCCTGAGGGCACGGCTCAGCCCATGTGGGCTCTAGGCAGTCAGATGGCCTCTGGCCTGCAGGTAAGTTTTTCTGATGTGCTTCTTGAGGGGACCCATATAACTATAACCCCAGGTTATAACGACTGAACTGCAAAGCACTCCAGGAGCCCAGTAGATGTTCTTCCCTGACCCCAGTCAGGACTGCTGCTGTCACCTAGAATTTTTTTTATTAAAATGACAAATACCCAGCTCAAGTTGGCTTAAGCATTCTGAGTTACTTGCTGCTCTGTGACAGATTACCCCAACACTTACTGGCTTTAAGCAATAACTGTTTTATCATTTGCTTATAATTCTGCAACTGAGCAAGGCTTAGCCAGTTCAGCTCAGCTTAGCTCTGTGGAATCTACCAGGAAGGGCCAAGCAGCAGGGGCTGGAACGCCTCCCCTGGCCTTGTTCTAGCCTTACTCTCACTGTTTTCTGGACTCCGGGACACTCTCCATGTGGCCAGTTTGGTGGTCTCCGCTGGGCTTCCCAGATGGCAGGTGGATTTCTCTAGAGAGCACACATTGAAAGGCCGGACCTTTGGGCCTCTGCTTGGAGCTGGGCAGCATTGCGTCTGTCATCCTGTTAAGGCAGTCACAGGGCCAGCCCTGATTCAAGGAGAGGGAATGCCACAGGGCGGGGCCTGGGAGAGGTGCTCACGGGGGCCCTGACGGAGTGCCGGTGTTCAGCACAGTGGTCCAAGGACCCTCTCCAGGTTGTCAGAACCTGGCGTGCCTGCCATGCTGTCCTTGCATGTGCCCGCCCTCCCTCCCGCTGTAGCAGCTCCGGTGCCCTCCGTGTGTTCTCATTCCAGGTCTCGGGCAGCTCCGCCTGGAAGGGCAGCGCACCTTGCTCTACCAAATAGCTGCCTAGCCGTGGGCAAGTTTTCTAGCCTCTGTGTGCCTCAGTTTCCTCCGCCCTGGAGGGTGTCGTGAGACTTGGAGAATACCTGGGGTATGCCACCTGCAGGTTGTGAAGACAGACAGCATGCCACGGGCTGGGGAGTGTTAGAGCTGGCTCCAGGAAGGCACAGCTCCTGGGCAGGCCCCCACGTGGCTCCTCTGGGGGCCGGCCTGCTGTGGCTTCCCCAGGAGGCCTAATCTCTCCTCACTGCTGTCCTTACCGTACTTGGAAAGGTCAGCGCTCCTGGATTTGAGGGGACTTCCTGGTGCTCATTCGCTGCTGCCCTGTGGGGTGGAGCTAGGCTCCCAGCCTCAGGCTCGGCCTCAGGCTCGGCGCTCAGAGCTTGGCAGCTTCTTCAGCCATTGGAGCAGCAGCATCTGTGGCCGAGGCCAGGCCTGTGGCCCAAAGGGCCTTGTTTTAGAGGCTTTCCTGTGAAGCACTTCTCGCAGCCCCAGTGGGCATGGCATGCTGGGCCTGGGTACGCAGACAAGGTGGCCGCAGGTTGAGCACGCCTCGTCCTTCTCACCTGTCCTCTCAGTGCCGCCCTCTGTATGTTTTCCAGGATTCTACTCCTGAAGTTTAAGATGAGCCTCATCAGGGCCCACCCCATACAGGTTCTGAAGGAAGACCAGCTTGCAGGCTCTCTCGCCTCACCGCCCTACCCCCCCTCCCCGTACATCTACCGCTGGGCTGGTCTCAGAACCTCAGGAGAGCTCACAACAGGCCACGGCTGACTCTCCTGTGCGCGTGGGGCAGCTTTGAGCTCATGCACGTGCTCCAGGAAGGTGGTCGGCAGCCGCTTGGCTGGACGTGACCAGCCTGGGTAGAGGTCTGGCTCTTGTGTGTGGCCTTGGAGGTGGCTGAGGGGCCTCAGGGGCTAGGCTGGCCTGCAGCACCGTGACAGGGCCTGTTGTAGAAACTTTCATTGTTCTAATGTCCAGTAAGTAGTAGAGATGGCATAACATAGTATGATTTCCAAACTATTTTTTTTAGAGAGATTTTTGCTATAGGGCGCATGTGCTCAACAGAGAGCCAGCGAGAAATCACCCCCTAGGGGTATGGCTATGTTGCAGTCCCTCTCCTCCATTTTCCCCTCGGGATTTCGGGCACACACACACATATACCCAGCATGAGTTTTAGACCACCTGGCCTGGAACTCGAACCGTGGTCTACTAGGTGGGAGTTGAGCGATGAAACCAATACTCCATTTGCTGGTTCCAGTTTCTAAGCATTTAAAGGTTCCTACTGGTTCACTGAGACAAATCAAGGTGTTTGTATTTGCACACCTGCTCACTAATGCCCTTGCACAGCTGTTTCCTCCACTACCAATGTAGGAACCATTGCACGAGAGTACAGCTTGCCCTGTCCTGCAGCAATACAGGCTTGACTGCTCAGCTGCAGCCGTCCCGTGAGCCTGGTGCCACCAGGGGCTGTGCCGGGCACTGCCTTTGGGTACCAGCATGGGAGCCCTGGCAGGTCTTTATACTTCACAGGCGGCCACCAGTTGACCTGGCCCCATTGTACTTGCCGTGTGAGTCTAGACTGGTGACCCTCGTCCCAGTTAGCCACACTGCCTCTTGAGACAACATCCTTGATTAAGAGACTTGGCAGCAGGGGCCAGCAGGTAGCATAGTGGGGAAGTCACTGGACTCCCACATGATCTACCACAGTTCTAGTTCCGGACTCAGCAGCTTGAAAATCACACTGGGCACATGTGCATGCGTGCCCAGAGTCCCAAGGAGAAAATGGAGAAGAAATTACAACATGGCCATCCCCCCCGGAGGGTGATTTCTAACATTTCCTCTGTCTGTCTCTGGCGAGGACATGCGCTCTATGGCAAAAATCTCTAAAAATTTAAAAAAGAGAGAGAGAGACTCGGCGACCACTCTTGCCTAAGTTTATTCGTCATCATGCATCGAATACATCTCTGTGCAGATATTACCAAGCTGCCACTTAGCAGGCATGACTAGAGTCTGAGGTGCAGTGATGAGCTTAACAGCAGCAGTGACATGCCACGTGTAGCTCTGTACCTTTGGCCCAGAAGCAGACCAGGTAGCCTCAGAGCTTCCACCAGGCACAAGGGCCCCAGGATTGCCTTCCACAGTCCGGTGGGTTTCATACATTTATGTAACTTTTGCAAATCTGGTCCATCCTGCCAGTGTCGTGGGTTCCTGGCATGGACCTGGGCCTACACTGTGCACTGTGGGGCTCCCAGAAACTTTCCCCTGCAGGAATCGAAGGTCTGATTGGGCATGGAGGAGGTTCAACAGTAGAGATGCCAAGAGAGCAAGCCGTCTGTGGGCTTCGGGAGACAGAGGTGTGGTGAGGGGAGCAGTGCTCCGTGCTGCAGCTCAGTCATCCCAGTCACCAACTGCTTTGTCCCAGCGTTGGGCTGGCAGCTCTCTCGTGCTGTGTGAAGAGGCTTCTGACAGTTTAGACGTTAACTGAAATTATTAGATCATTCCACCTGTAACCAGGGGTAATGTGCAGCTTTTTTTTTTTTTTAATTTTTTTTTTTATTAAGTTTCTTTGTTTCTTTCATCCATGAGCCAAAGAGACAGACAAATACCCATAATAGGGTCTCCACAGCACTGTCACCCCAGCATCTGGCCATCCCAGCATGTGGGCACACACGTGCCCGATGTGCTGAGGAATCCTAGACACGGACCCAGAACCTCCCACGGGGCCTGCCGACGGGGTGTCACATTGCTGCTGCACTGCCTTCAGGCCCCTCCAGCCTCGCTTTGTGGTAGGTGTGGTTGGTAGAGACACTACTTAGATTGGAATCCAGGCCAGCCAGTGGCATGCGGTTCACATGGCTGGACTCTACACGACCGACTACACAGTTCAAGTCTTAGACCTGACAGCTAGAAAAACGTGCCGTGTGTGTGCATGCCTGCCCCAGACCCTGAAAAGAGGGGGAGATGGAAGAGAAGGGATTGTAGCATGGCCGTGCCCCACAGGCGTGCTTCTTCACGCTCCGTCTTTCTGTCTCCTCCTAGCAAGCACATGTGCCTTCTGGCAAATTAAAAACAATTTTTAAAAAAAATCTATTGCCCTCCTCCAATGAAGAAAAGCCAAATTAGATGTTAAGTGTTTGTTTTCCTTTGATTCCAGGCAAGCCGATTTTTTCAGTTGATATTCACCCTGACGGGACCAAGTTCGCAACTGGAGGACAAGGTATGTCTGCGGATAAGGAGGAGCGGCACACAGCCCAGCCACCTCGCTCTGCCTCTCCCGTCCACTTAGCTGGAGAGGAAGGACTCACTGTTTTTGTGTGGGTGAGACCCAGCTTATAGTGTACGGTTACAATCTGTTATCTGACAGCACTAAGTCCTTTTTTGGCTGCGGTATGCTCTTGATAAACATTTTGGTAATAAGTCAGTCATTCTAGTTCCTGTTTATTGAGAGGATATTAAAATTAATTTCCATCTCCATGCCTAAGCGTACTGAGCATGGAGAACCGTAGGTGGTCCCATGGACAAGACCCTGCCTCAGGCAAGGACTATACAAGGGGGAGAAGGTGGTGAAAGGACTAAGTCATGGAGCTGTGAGGCCCTGGGTGTGGTCAGAAGACTTCCACTGCGTTAGAAAGCACCCTGTGGGCAGGTTAGGGTGCCCCAGCATTCAGGGTGTGACCTGTGATGCTGTCAGTGTGGCTGAGCCAGCATCGTCTGTGATGGAGTAACACGCGTGTGCCGAAGGACAGAGCCGTTTCTCATGCCAGTACACCTAGTTGTGTACACGGTGCACAGTACAGCATCCCACAGGGCCCACCCCACCCAAGCAGCTTCTCCCCAGAGCAGGGCCTTGGCCAGCCTCCCTGACCGCACCTGGAAAGTCCAGGGCCAGGGTGGGTTGGCTGCAGACCCTGCTGTCTGGAGGCAGAGAACACGGAGGGAGTGCGGAGAAGCTGGGGGCAAGAAGGTCTTTCTCTCCTTCTGCATGCTATAAGAGGAGCCTGCAGCCACGAGCTTCTCACATGTGAGTGTCGGGCTCGTGGGGTGTGGGGACAGGTAGTGGACAGGGTTGCTCCGCGTTCACAGAGAGTGAGGTCTGGGAGAGCTGTTCAGAACGTTATCCTACATACCGGCCAGGAGGAGATCTCAGTCACACTTCCCTGCAACGAGACGGTGGGCTTTCGTTAGTTAGCTACTAGCGATGGAAAGTTTAGAAAGACATCAGTGTTAAAATGCATGGGGACATTTTTCAACAGAGAGGTACATCTGCTTACAGCCACAGGAACACTCAGTCCCTCTGCTGGTTGATTTCCCATCGAAGGTGACTGCAAAGGGCACCTAAGGTAGTGAGCCCATTCTCCTGTGTTCAGGGCACATTTATTAATTGTATTCATTATTATTTTAATTTGATCAGAGAGAGACTCATACATACAAGAAGAGAGAGAGGGAAAGTGAGAAAGCAAGCCACCGGATCCAGGACTCAAACCGCAGTCCACCATGTGGGAGTCCAGCACCTCAGCCACCACTCCACCTACCAGTCCTCAAGGCACATTTTAAACTCGATTTTCCAAGTGTCCAGTCTGCTCCGGAAGGGCAGTGGATTCCGGCAGCACCTTGTCGGGGAGGGAAACCCAGCAGAGTGCTCTCCTTGCTCTCTGGGGTGCACATGCACAGACCTGCAAGGGCATGGGGATGTCGACTTCCCATCCTTTTCGTTTCACAGCCGTGGGGTCCGAGTCCTGACCAGGGATGGGGGCCTTTTACCGGCTCTCGGTGGACCTGTGTTAGAGGTTGCACCAAAGCTCAGTCCCCTCCTGATTTTTGGTCCAGAGTCCTTTTAATGAATCACGTTGACCTCAGCTTACTGCGAAATCCACACATTTTTGTCCCCATGAGCACTTTTTTTTTTTTTTTGCTTATAATTCCTGTAACTACTTCAGTAGTTCACATTCAGTCCCTTAGATCTAGTCGGTTTGTTTATAGAAGCTAAGTAATGGCTTCTCGTCGTTAATATTATCTACCAATACCAGATTCCTACTCTTGCACATTGACTTATGTCTGCTTCTTCTTTCCAGGGCAGGATTCTGGGAAGGTTGTGATCTGGAATATGTCTCCAGTCCTCCAAGAGGATGACGAGAAGGATGAAAATATTCCCAAGATGCTTTGCCAGATGGACAATCACTTAGGTATTACAGAGTGGCCCTTTGCAGGCTTTGCGTGTTGGCAGAGTGCCCAAGGTTAGCACATGTGTTTGTAATTAGAAAGCTAAGGCCCCGTGCGGCGGTAACTCCCCTCGGCCTGCTGTCTGAAGGCACAGATGTTGGCTGCACACCTGGGTGAGTTATTCGGCAGAAGACTCGGCCCGCCCACAGAACCATCTTTGGACAGTCTGCAGGTACCTCTGGTGATTTCCTGCTCATGAGTCGTTACTGCCTGATTCCATGGGGCTTTGGGACCAGCGACCTGGATACAGTAGGGCTCTGGGGAAGGGTACATAAGAGACGGTGCGTCCAAACATCTCAGGCTGGCACTGCGTCACTCCAAGGGCCTCTACCAGCACCTTCTTCAGTGATGGAAGGAGCTGCGGGTCCCATTCCTGGTGTAGTTCCTTAGCATCCACTCCTGAGATGCTCCATTAGCAACTCCTGGCCTTTGGACGTCAGCCCCTTTGCTCTGCGGGTTCTTGTCCACCCAGAGTGTCCCTCGGCGTCCTTGGACCTGACACACACGTTACTCACAGGCCATGCCGTGGCTGCAGCCTTGGTAGAACCCTTCGTATCTCGGTCTCCCGAAGGCTGAGCTGTGAGTGCTCCGACCCAGCAGGAGCCTGGGCAGTGGGGATTCTGTTCAACAGAGCTGAGAGGTGTAGCATCGTTAATATGCAATCCAGACAGGTATGGGAAATATGCATTTAAAAGGTCTGCTCTGACCAGTGGGATGAAATCAGAGTTTTATACTCCTGGAAAGTTCTAAAAAAGGTATCTCGGCCTTTTTAGCACATGCTTTCATTTGGAGACTAATCCCTACTGCAAAATACGTCTCCTCAATAGACAGCCCTTGTGAAAGGATGAGATGTAGCTACCACTTGTCAGCTTTTTTGGAAATAACCTTCCTAGTGACTATCTCACTGAGCACTAAAAGTTCCCGGATTGTGGTCACTGGTTATCCCAGCACCAGTCGGTTAGTGCTTACACCGAACCGTTTCCTGGGCTGCCACCCAGTAGGTGCCTTAAATAGGTGAGATAGATTGGATTGTAAAAACCTTACATCGTGCCAAATTCTGCATAAGCAAATGGGCGTGACTACTGGATTTTCATCACCTTGTTTTTTTTCTTCCCAGCGTGTGTGAACTGTGTGCGGTGGTCAAACAGTGGGATGTATTTAGCTTCTGGGGGAGATGACAAACTGATTATGGTGTGGAAGCGGGCTACGTAAGCATCATTTTCCTTTCTTCACACTTTGTTTTTAGACGCTTTGCTGGTCTTTATCAAAGTCACCTTTCCCACCCCGTCACTGAAGCCCCTAGAGCTCCGACTTCATAGGTAACAGGAAGTACCTGTAGGTCAGGAGCAGATGGAGCCTGATGGGGAGTCAGGAGGTCACCACCCTGCCCAGTGACCTGGTCGGCTGCCCCTCACAGGGCTACAGGGCTTCCACGTGAAACGCAAAGGGGGGACGGATGTGGGTTCACCTGGAAGTTCAATGTACAAAAGAGCTAAAAATTGAGGTGCTCTGATGGGACCAGGACCAGGAGACCCAGAGCCTGCCCTCTTTGCCATTCACCTCGTTCTCAGCCTCAACCTGGTGCAGCTCTGGCTCTGCACCCAAAATGAACTGCCCGTCACCTGGAAAATGGTCTCTCTCTTTACCCCTAGACAAAGAGTCTTTCAAGGTGGGTCCTGAGGCTCTGTCCCATAATGGGCTCCCAGTGACTCTGGGTCAGGCAGGCTGGAACCCAGTCCTGAACCACTGCTCAGCCAGGGTTGCTCCTTGGGCTGTGGCGTTGGGAGTGGAGGTGTGCTGTTCTCTGCCCACCAGCTGCCTCTGCGACCTCTTCCTGTGGAAAGGGCTCTACGAGAGGGGAGGGCGCTCACGGGGCTCTGAGTGAGTGTCAGCACCACCTCAACCAGGCCCCAGCAGGGATTGGTCTGAAGGATTTAGTTCCATGGCTCTGTGGGTTTGTGCCTCAAATGTTAAGACAGGGCATCTTGATTCATTATAAGGAGACTAAAAAATACCGCTGATTTTGCTACTTTCAGTACTAAATGTAGATGACATTTAATATAAACTTTGGAAAACTAAAAGGAAAAGGAAAAATATCTCATCTACCACTAAAGAAAGCCACAGTTGGGAACACGAGGTGGCTTGGTGGTTAAGGTGCCTCGGTTGTCTGCCATTTGAGCCCTGAAACTGAAAATCATGCCGGGCATTTGTGCCCAAAATCCTTAAAAGAGAATGGAGAAGGGATTGCAGTGTGGTTATCTCCCTTGGGAGGGTTGACTTCTCACTTCCCCTATCTCTTTGTCTCTCTACTGAGTACACATGCACTATGGCGCAGTATGGCAAAAAAAGAAAGAAAAGTAAAAGAAAGCCATGGCTGATATTGTGGGGTTTTCCCCCAAAAGTCTAAAAGTTTTCATTTTTTTTGATACTTTAAAAGAACTATTTATTTTATTATTATTATTATCATTATTTTTTAATTTGATCAGAGAGAGACAGAGAGTGCGCAGGTAAGTGAGAAAGCAAGCCACCAGGTCTGGGACTAGAACCACGGTCAGCCATGTGGGAGTCCAGCACCTTAACCACCACGCCACCTGCCAGCCTCGTTTTTTTTAAAGTGTTTTTAGGTGTGTGTCTTTCTAACCTGTCCGTGTGTACACGATGTTCCTGTTGTCTGTTTTCCTCTGCGTAAGAGGTAGCGTATTGTGCACAGCTAGGTTCCCTGTGGCCTGCCCCTCGCACTCAGCAGTGAACCGTGAACTCGCCCGTGCACGTCACGTAGGGCTGTGTAGTATCCCATCGAGCGCGTGGGCCTTAACCGACCTAGTCAGCCCCTTGCGTTCGACACCAGCGCTCTCGGGCCCTTGTCCATTCTGCTCTGTCCTGTCTGCCTCGCTAGGCCGTGCTGCAGGGACATCCCTGTGCCGCCCCGCAGCACTCCGCGCGTGCCTCTCTGACGTCTCTCTCACACAGGTACATCGGGCCCAGCACCGTGTTCGGCTCCAGTGGTAAGCTTGCCAATGTGGAGCAGTGGCGGTGTGTCTCCATCCTCCGGAGTCACTCAGGCGGTGAGTGGGGCAGCCTGTTGGGGTGGGTGGGCCCCAAGCGGCTGCCTCAGATGAGCAGCAGCTTCTCCACATCCCTCGTGGGACTCTTGGGTCCTTAAAGCAGCCCTGTGCCTGGGCTCACCCTCCCCACCACCGTCGGTCACACCCTGCCTGTCCCTCAGGGTCTGTAGTCACCGTCTCCACTGCCTGCCTGCAGCTGCATTCAGTGCCCCACTCCTGCCCTCATGGGGTGTGTGTTTATATCTTTAATGTAGACCTCCCCACGTTCTGCTGTTTATCCTGCTGATCTGAATCAGTACCTTCATCAGTGGATCACTCAGTCTGTAAGCACACTTTATTTATTCCCCAGAAACCAGCCCACAAGTCCCTGTGAAATATTTTTCACCTTGACCTTAAGTATATTTCCAAAATGTTTTAAATAGACTAGAGAGGCACAGTTCACAGACTTCAACTGAGGAGGGAGCAGCCTCGGCTGGGCCCTGTCTGAGCTGCACATTCAGCCAGGTCCTAGGGCACCAGAGTGCGTGCAGCAGGCTTATCTCAGCAGGTGGTGCTCTAGCCCAGAAGGGCACTGGGGGGCTTTCCGGCCGTGGGGACCGCAGACTTGAGAAAGGCTTGCTGTGAATGGTGAGCTTCACCCAGGAGGCCAGGGCAATAAGAGTGTGCAGGGTCAGGTCACAGAAGGCCCGAGTCCCCTGCTATGACGGTGTCTCTTACCACGTAAGAGGCAGCAAGCTGTTAAAACCTTGACTCGTGAGAGATCTTCCTGACAGCCCTGTGAGAAGTGAGGTTGTTCCAGTGTTCGAGATAAAAACTGCAAGGCTCTAAACTAGGTCTGTGATAACTGGGGTGAAGAGGAGGAGCCGACTGGGGACTACACAGGACAGGGCGCAGGGGTGGGGAGAGCAGATTTGGGGCTAGGTTCTTCGATAGTCAGAGGTGTCCTCTCCTGAGACCAGGACCACAGGCTGAGAGGGTACCAGTTCAGCGTAGGATGTGCTGGGTTTATAAGGGGTAGGGAAGGAAGTGCCAAGAAGCTGGTGGAAAGGAGCCTGGCGCTCCAGGGGAAGCCGGGCAGGGGCAAGAGGGTTAGGAAGCATCGGCTCCAGTGCCCTATAGACAGTATAAAGGAGGTAACTGTGTCTTGATGACCGTGGAGGGAGGCTACGTGGTGAAAGCTGGGACAGGAACATCGTGTTAATTGCTTGAGAACAGTGAGACTGTTTGCCTTTGTTCCACAGCTGTTCGTAGGAGGTTTAGTTGGGCCTCTTTAGACATGGCACTCATCTGTGAGGGTGTTCAAGCTGGGCTGGGCTATATAAGAGGACTGCCTGAGGCTCAGGCTGGACTGTCACCTGCCTTCTGTCCCCACCACCCATGAGCGCCCGTGAGTCTTCACTACCAAGCACAGAGGGTTGGCCACTTCCAGCTGGGGTGCCTGCCCCTTCTAATTCGCTGGCCTGGTAGCAATTGTGGGCAGCACCGTTCAAGAAGAAAAATCAATGGAAAAGCAGGAATAAATGAATAAGAAAGCGAAGTCTGAGAAGTGTGTGTTTGGTTTATTTGATTGGGAAGATGGAAGAAAAGCCTAGACAGTTAGAAGTAAGTGTCTGAGGCTGGCAGGTGGCGTGGTTAAAGTGCTGGGCTCCCACGTGGCTGGCCACAGTTAGAGTTCTGGACCTGGTGGCTCGCTTTCTCACTTTCCCTCTCTCTGTGCCTCTGGTCAAACTAAAAAAAGAATAGTAATAAGTAAAATTAAATAATAACTTTTTTTAGAGAGAGTTTTTGCTGTAAGGCACTTGTGCTTACTGGAGAGACAGAAAGCAAGAAATCACCCTCCGTGGGGTGGCCACACAGCAATCCCTTTTCTTCCATTCTCCTCTCGGGATTTTGGGCATGCATGCACATGTGCCTAGCATGAGTTTCAAGTCCCTGGTCCGGGACTTGTACTGCTGTCTGCCATGTGGGAGTCCAGCGATATAACCATCTGCTGGTCCCACTAATTAATTAAGTTTTTGTTTGTTTGTTTAGTTTTACTACAGGGCATGTGTACTCAGTGGAGACAGAAACAGAGGGAAAGTGGAAAACCACGCCCTCAGTGGGGATGGTCATGCTGCAGTCCCTTCTCCACTCTCCTCTCGGGATTTTTGGCACACGCATGCACCCTGTGTGCTTTCCAAGCCACCGAGTCTGGGGCTCAAACAACACAGTCAGCCATGTGGGATCCAGCTGCCTTAGCCACCACGCTGGCTGGCTGGCCCACCAAGGAAGTGTTTCTGTTAGGATAGCGCGTGCATACTCGTGCGTGTTAGGGTAGCGTGCATACTCATGCGCACAAGGGAAGAGGAGAAGCACCCTTGATAGGTCTCCAGCTCCCCAGCTTCTCAGGGTCCTAGGCACCGGCCTGCATACCCAGAGCGTTTTCAAGCCCACCTGAGTATCCGAACCCACGGTCAGCCACAGGCCCCGGTCTCACAGGGCACTGTCCTACCGTTGTGCCGCAGTGGCTGTGCCTAGTGAGAGAAGTATTTTTTGTTTTGCTTTGATTTAATTTTATTTATTATTATCATAATCTTTTTTATTATATTACATCGAATCACATATATCTTTACAGTGTATGACATTTCCAGCGTGATTACCATGCATATCGGTCAGGATAAAGACATTACAGTCCACATCATCATCATCTAATAGCTTTCATCATTTTTTTTTCAGATTATTATCATTATTATTCCTAGGAAGAGAGTTTTGAAATTGACGTTTCAAAGGCCTCTGAGACTTTACCTGTAGAAATCTGAAGTCTCAGAGGCCTTTGAAAAACAGTCTGCCAGGTTAGGAGAATCTATACCTATGAAGACGGTCGGATACTCTGCCCAGGATTCCTACCCTGAGACCCAGGTCAGAGCATTCAGTGTAGAACGTGACTGCACACGTGGGTCAGTTAGCATGAGAAGCTGGGACCCAGCCAGTGATCCACATTACCTTAGGTCTGTTGATGTTGGCGAATGCTCTCAAGGACATAGCGCGCAGGGCAGAAGAGAAGAGGCCATGACATCGTAGGCTAGGAGAGTGCGAAGCGGCTCCTGGGGTGTGCGCGGCGGGAACTGCCGTGCGATATGACGGGAGAAACTCTGCCAAGCTGCCACCAGAGATTTGTATACATAGCAAAAATGCAACAGAGACTTCGAATCCTTTCTTACACCTCTTTAAAGAAAAATCTGTGGAAAAAGAGACTAGATTACCTGTTCACTTGCTGCCGATTTTTCCCTTCAGCTCACCAGGCATTCTTCCACACACCTAGCACTGCGCCAGGCCCTGAGGTCAGGAAATAGACGCACACGCTTTACACCTAGACGGCCAGATGGGCACAGTTGTCCTCACCCTCGTGGCTGGCCTTTGTCCGTGCCGTGGCATGTGCCTGGCACTGGGCTACAGCAGCTTCCCACACTTCAGCCTCACAGTGGCCCCATGAAGACAGGCTCTTGGTTTTTATTGTGCTTTTTACACATGAGAAACTGACCCTCTAATAACTGAGCTTGATAATTCCGACCAGAGGTCCTGTGGGGCCGGGGTCTTCTGTGCAGGATCTTGGAGATGAGATCCAGTTAGTGAGCGGCAGGAGGCCTTGAAAAGGACTTAATGTTTCCTTGGCTGGCAACCCTCGTTTGTGTCCTGCCTGACTTGCGCGCAGGCGTCCTGCTAAGCGCAGTCCCTGCCTTGTCTCGTCCTCAGAGGGCTCTGCAGTGTGCCCGGTTGCTCTTGGACAAGCAAGCTGGCAGGGTTGAGGAGCATGCCTGAGGCCGTAGGCCCCCGAGGTGTGCGGGCATGGTGTGTCCACCGCCATGTGATGCCACGTGGTGCCCACGTGCTCAGCCCCACCCGTAGTCACTGCAGCTGTGAAAGGAGTGGGGTGCTGAGACCAGCGAGGTGCTTTGCTGTGGGTGAGCATCTGAGAAACGCTGCTGGTGGGAGGGGTGGGAGGGGGTAGAGGGGAGATGAGGGCTAGACAGGCAAGGTTGGTGATGACGTGTACAGGATTCCAAACTGGACTGGTCTGAGGTGTACTTCGTGTGTAAATCCTCTTTACAAGCCAAATGATGTATAGCGATCGGATGTATAAAAAATAATAATATTAAATTTTTAAAAAAGGAAAGAAAAACGTTACTGGGGCATAATTTCAGATTAAAGACGAAGCCTATGATAGTCTCAGGTCAAGTGACCTCAGACATGAGAATCCCAGGAACAGCTGCCCAGCTAGGAGACTGGGTATTGAGTAGCCACATTCACCGTCGTCTGTGCTGGTGAAGAGCTCACCGTCAGCCCTCTGTCTTCCAGATGTGATGGATGTAGCGTGGTCGCCCCATGACGCCTGGTTAGCCTCGTGCAGCGTGGATAACACTGTCGTCATCTGGAACGCCGTGAAGTTCCCAGGTCTGGGTCTTCTCCGAGTGGTCCAGGGTGGAAACAGGCTGCCCCCAGGGGCACCGCCGGCTGCTAGGCGCCGGGCTTTGTCCCCTCCCCCTTGGTGGCAGCAAGTGTAGAATTTATATGTCTAGGCAATACCTCAGTTCTGTTTTCTTTATCATTACTTTTGATTAAGGTTTGAAAAGTGGAAATAGTAATCGAGCGCTGACAAGTGTGCCTCAGCTCTGGAGGGCGGCGACTGGGCAACTGGCACTGGGGACCCGGGGTTCCCACGGGCTGCACGCACCTCCCATCCCGAGCTCTGGCCTCCGCTCAGCTGCCGTCTCTGAAGTCCTTGAGCAGATGTGGGCCGACACGTGCCCAGTTTTGCAGAAGACGAATGTTCTTACTCATTGTGTTTATGTCACAACAGATGGCATGCCTGGCAGAGTCCTGCAGTTCGTAACTAGTGAGACACCGCCCGTGTGTCTAGGCTGTATTTGGAGAGTCTCTCCTCGCGGGCTAAAATTCATCAGGGACTTGGATCCAAGTCGCCTTTACTCTTTCAAAGCCACCTGCATGCATGGGGACACTTGGTCTGGCCACGGCAGGGACAGCTTTAGACTGGCGTAGCGTTTGCCCTAGAGATCTGTAAGCAGTCTTTCCATGCGCGCCTTGTTTTCAGCATGAAGTCCAAAAGGCTCCCTCTGCCCACAACTGCGCCCTGAACCGTTAGGCCTGTACGTTATCAGGCACGCCTCGGAAGGACCAGTGCCATAGCCCAGGTGGGCATAGACTTCCGGCTAGGGAGGGCAGCCCTACACAGGACTGCCTGCTGCAGACAAGGCACGGGGGCACAGCCGCCAGCTGGACCCCCAGCTGCTTGCTCCTCTGGGGGTGTGCATGGCCTCAACCTACCAGTGGTAGCTGGAGCGGAGGGAAACCACAGTGCCTGCCTTCTCCAAGCCGTGTTTGCCTTGGTGGAGATCACGTTAGGGGCTCTGTGCCCGGCTGGGGGCAAGCCCAGGTGGACCCCTGAAGTCCCTGCTCAGATATCTGTCCCATGGCCCGTGGACTGCAGCTCCTATGCTCGGTGTGCAAGCCTTGTTTTCCCCTAGGGTAACACCTGTCCAAATTTCTTTCACTTTTTTCCTTCACAGAAATTCTAGCTACTCTCAGAGGTCATTCTGGCTTGGTGAAAGGGTTGACTTGGGACCCCGTTGGTAAATACATCGCCTCGCAGGCTGATGACCGCAGCCTGAAGGTGTGGAGGACGCTGGACTGGCAGTTAGAGACCAGCATCACCAAGCCTTTTGATGAGGTAACTGGGACAGAGGCGTGACCCGGGCAGCTGGCCACGGAGTGCACCCTGTGGGGTCACGTACAGAGCAGGGCCCGAAAAGACCCACTGAGGTTCTCTGGAATGGGCGCCCCAGCCCTAATAATTGGATTATAAATATCTTTTATTTCTGAAATAAAATGTCCAACTTCGAAGTGAAAAGGATTTGCAGGTTATAAAAACGAAGAGAACCTTGGGAAGTGCTACACCATTGTGTCGCCGGCTTCCTGCCACCGGCGGGGG